CTGCAGGATTATCACATCTCTTCTCTGCTAGGGAGAAGGGAAAAGAGGGTGACAGGGAGGATTTCTGATACTAGTTTTGCGTGTGCAAATATTGCAGTAATTGAAACTGATGATAGCAACTCAAGGATTGACAGCTCCCAAACACTCTGGATTGAGGACCTCTGTCAGCCTTCTGTCTAACCTTTGATTTAAAATATTTGTACTACTGATGTGCTTTTACCCACAGCTGTGAATCCCTTTCTGTGGCTTCCCAGGCTGCAGTGTGCATGTGAATTCTGACACTGTTTTAGCCGGAAGACATTGAAATCTGTCATTAAAATAACTTAAAATTCGTGTAAGTTTTTCTGTTATTTTATCACTTCAACCTGTGATGTCATGTTCTTTTTAGGGAATTCTTTATACCTGTATCAAAGAGAGTTTAAAAAAAGAGATTCCTTTACATTTTGCCTAATAATGATGTAGGATAGGGTAGGATATTTTCAGTTGGAAGGCACCTGCAATGAACTGCCTGACCACTTCAGTGCTGATCAGAAGTTAAAGCAAATTATTAAGGGCATTGTCCAAATGCCTCTTAAATTAGTTACTTTCTATTGGTACTTGTGGCTTTCTGGCTAAAAAAAACCCTTTATTTTTTTTTTTTTACTGTGAGGATCTACAACTTGTGGGAGCCTACAGTTGTGATATTGGTTCTGCTTTGCAATTGAAATACTTCAGCACCTTCTTTGAAACCATTCCTTATAAGCACAGTGGAAGTGGAATAAAAAGCTTTTGTCCTTGGTTAGAAAGGAACCACTAAGGCATTATGGAAGGGGTGAGAATATCTTGCAGCACTCATTCCAAGATGTTTGTTTGCTGTACTTGCTCTAAAAATGTGAGGTAAGTTTTCTGTGTTCTTCTGACTTGTGAAGTTTCCAAATATTTTACTTGCTGGCACAGTGAGTACTGTGCACACCAGCTTGGAGTCTGGAATGTGTGTCCTGTTATAAAATGTTGCTACTTACTACTAAGTTTTGGCTTGGGAAGCTCTAAGGAACAGAGGAAGGAACTACTGTTGATACTTATAATTGAATTAACGCTGCTTTAGGGAACACTTTTTAATGTCATGGTGTAAAATGAACATTGTACATAGAATTATTTCTAATGTTTTCTAGTGGCTGTGGGTAGATGATGTTAATGCCTGTAAAGTTTATAATCTCTTTGTATCTAATAATTCTTGAAGTAAGATACTTCATTGATTGAAAAGGCAAGGTATGTAAAGTAATGCTGCTGTCTCCTTTTTAATAGGGATGATGATGTCGCAGTTTAATATTTCTCAGAATTCCATGCGAGGTAGTCCTGCATCTTCCAATTATCAACAAACCACTATCTCACATAGCCCTTCCAGGTAATGCTTTCTTTTAAATGGGGTGGGAGGGGCAGCGAGCGGCAAATTCTTCTTTCAGTGATAGTCAATTGTTGTTGCAATTACGTGAGTGGAAGGTGATCAGTGTCAAGACAGATTTTGCATTTATCTGTCAGCAGGGTGAGTTTCTTCAGCTGTCAGTGAATTAATCCTTGTATTCTAAGAATTAGTCATGATTCTCTGCTTTCTCTCCCCCTCCCATAATTATGCCTCCCATAATTTTGGCAAACTTTCTTTCCTGCCCCCTGTCACCCCTCCAACTGTTCCCCACCTGTGGCAGAAGCTGAGACTGGTGGCAGGAGGATAGGAGAGAAGAGGAAGAGGGTAATGTGTTCCAGCATTGCAGTACCAGTGTGGCAGGAAGGTGGTAAAGAAGGCTTGTGAAAGCACGAAGTACTGCTGTAACAGTTCCACAAGAGGCCTCTTGGAGGACAGGCCCAGTAGTTTGGCCAGTCTTCCAGCAGCATCCTTGACAACTTTCTGGTTGTTCTTTTTAAACTGTTGCGTGTCTGCAAGTAGCATATACCTGTAATCCAGGCCTTTATTAATATAATAAAGCATTCTGGACTAGAAGAAAGAGTTCTGCATATAGTGTCAACCTAGTTACTGGGTTTTAACAGTTTTCATCTTCAGTTATTACGTACCATTATCAAGATAAACTCAAATTTCACATTTCACTTCAAGTTATTGTAATTGTTTTGGCAAATGAAACGCTCTGTATCTGCACAAAAAAACAGTGCCCTTCTTTACTTTTATATCTGAAAGGGGTGTGGAAGATTTTTTTGAATTGACAGTTAACAATGACTATTACAAAGTCTTCAAATCCTTGCAAAATCCTTGTGTTAAATACTTTGCTATTTCTTTCTATGGAAGCTTACCTTCATAAAGTTGCTATCTAGAACTGAAGGCTGTGAAAGCATGTCATGTACCTTTTGAAGTATTTAGCTGATTTACTTTTATTTTGAAAAGCATGTGTAAAAATGTAGGTTAAAATGTGCATGTATTATTGTCACAAGCCTATGTTATTTTTATAGCATCCTATCTGTAGGATCAGTCTAAGATAAAGTCAGTGAAAGAGTAAGTTATATTCAGTGGGCTTTGGGTCTGGTCCTACATAACTGCCTATCACATTCCTGTATCTTGGCAGTGTAGTTCTGTTAGATGAAATTCTTGGAAGTCTTACTGGAAAAGTAATGTTTAGTGTAAATGACTACTTGTTAATCCTAGTGTACTAGTTGTTAATTAAAACTTAGCTTTCACTTTCAAACTTCTAGAACTACCTTTTGGAAACTGCAGATCTTCTTCTAGCATATATTTGTGTCGTCGTTTCCTCTTCCTAGGTGGAGTTCTTGTGACTGCTTTTTATTCTGTTCTGTTATTTCACAAATGCAGTACCTAAGCTGTGACTTTTAAGTAATAATTGAACTTGGAAGGTATCAATAACTTAAAATAATGTTTTTGAGGATATTCTTGATTGCGTTGGTATTTGGTATCATAAGGAAGTTTTAATGTTCTGAATACATAATATTCCAGAAGAAATAATGGATTTGCCTGAATTTGCTTTTCTGACTTTGAAAACATCTGTTTATTTTATATTAGCCGATTTGTGCCGCCCCAGACAAGCTCTGGTAACAGATTTCTGGCACAACAGAACAGTCCAGTGCCTAGCCCATATGCTCCTCAAAGCCCTGCAGGATACATGCCATATTCACATCCTCCAAGTTATACACCACATCCTCAGATGCAGCAAGGTAAGTCTGTGATGTTTGTGTTATTCCACTGTCTCATGTCGGCTTTATCTTCATGTGCATGTTTCACGACTTTCTAATTTCTTTGTAGGAGTCACACACTTAATGCAAATCTTTGAGTTTACAGAGAAATTTCTGGGTACTTTAAACTTTGTTTTCGTGACTGTACAGAGTGGTAGTACATACTTGATTTAAAATAAAATAGAAGGAATGAAGAAAAGGTAAAAAACGTGTTCACGTTGCATTGCTCTCCTTGCATAGTTCTCATGTTTACATGACAACAGAAAACAAATCAAACCAAATCAAAAACTTAGCTTTGGCGATCATTTATCTATACTAGTGAAAACCTCTTTTTTGCCAATGTAACATAAGTTTTGCTGCCAGCTTATTTAGCCTTACCAAACCTTTGTAGTGTCAAGTAGATAAATTATGAGTTGGCTAGAATTATGCTCAAGGCATGCAGTAACTGAATTTCTTTGTTGTTCCTTTTTCTAAAAACGATCTTGAACAACATGAACACTGTTAAAAGTATCTAGGCATTTTTTTGTCGATAAGTAGAATTCTCCTTGGATTTTTAAAAATCATTTGTTCCTAAAATTTAGCAGTGTGTTTAGAATATATATAGCTGTTCTCTGTGTGATGCTGTATGTCTCATGAATACCTCAGAAATTACTAAATGTAGTGAATACAGATTATATAGAGGAAACCCAAGTTTTCTATAACCAGTAAGAATATGACTGTAATGTGGATATGTGGAGAGAAGCTTGGCCAATCTGTACATGGAATTTAGGTTTTAAATCCTCTTCAGAATTAAAATCTTATATAGTTTAATCTTATTCAAGGTATTTGTGGCAACAGGATTCAATCAAAAAGCTGGATTCTAGTTCCAGTTCGAGGCCTCTTGCATCCAACTTCATAATACTTACTATTATGCTGTTTTCTTTTTAAGAGTTAACGAGTTTGTGAATAGGTCAGTATAGTTACTTTTTTTTTTATTGCAGCTTCAGTATCCAGTCCCATTGTTACAGCTGGGATGAGGAATCTCCATGAAAATAAAGTTTCAAGTCAGTTGTCTGGAAATTCAGCTAATCACCATGCTGATAATTCTAGACATAGCTCAAATGAAGACTACCTACAGATGGTGCACAGGCTAAGTAGTGATGTATGTTACCTACATCAGTTGGTTATGATAAAGCAAATATGTGTTTAGCTGCCTTAGAAGTCAGGTATTTTTCTATGTTATTGTTGATGTATAAAACCACTGAAAATGTATTTCTGTTTCCGATATGTACACTCAACCATGCAGCTTTAATGTGTGATATTTAATTTTTGCTAGAATTCTCTCTTTACTTTGGAACCGTTTGTAGCATTCATTCTGATGAAATTAGGAAGAGCAAAAAATCTTCACATAATCTCATATGTGAGTTTATTTTAAAGAAATGGTATAGCTCTACAATTACTGTAGCAATATGTTGATGCAAACAATACTAGATTCTAAATAAGTGTATAGTTAACTTGTCTCTCTGAAGATCCCTTGAGCTGTCAATTAGACTTGACATTCTTGAATAACCTACTGGGTAATAGTAGAGCAGTCAAAGGCAAGAATTCCTGTGGACATTTTGTCGTACCAGCCTATTAAGTTCTTTCATGGCCTGATTTCTTTCTAAGAATTTTTTTCCTTAGTGACTTTATTTCGCATGGGAAAAATTCCTTCTGAAATCCTGAATCTAAAGGAAAAAAATCTAACTTTCTCAACACTTTTTGGAACTACTAACTTTCTTCTTAATGAGCATCTCATCCTCAGGATGAAGCTTGTTGAGATTCTTCTTTACAAGTTTAGCACACAGTCTCTTAAACAGCTCTTAAGCAGAGAGCACTTGAGTTTCAATTCTACTTTTTGACTTTAGCTCTTTGAACAGTGTGGTCATAGTTCTGCCTACAAGAGTAGGTGTAGCAGTAGTAGGAATACTTAATCAAAACCTGGTAGCAAGCAGGCTTTTTTTTCTTGTGAATATATGTGTGTTTTATTTAGCTTACAGAATCTCAGGGCAGCTCTTGACTTCCTAAACTAGCTTGTGAAAGCAAAGATGTCTTGTATTCACTAATTCACCAAGTATACTGTTAACACCAGACTCCCTGAGTCCCTTGCCAGGATTAATACATTAGACCTATTAGTTTTATTAGCCTCCTTTTTTTTTTTTTTCTTAAATTATAGAATGGTTTTGGTTGGAAGTGACTTTAAAGATCTTCTAGTCCAACCCCATTATGCTGACTAAAGATATTAGCTAAGAAGTAGTATCTTAAACAAGAGTAATGAATTAATCTATCATAATAAACAATCATCAGATGTTTTTCTTGGTCTCTCCTTCAACAATGCAAATTCTTCAAAAGAGGAAGCTGTCTGTGGCATTAAAATGTTACATATGTCCTCCAACTATGTTAAAGGTACGCTATCAAGAGAATCTTGGTTTTGTTAAGACAGAATTTTTTAAAAACTTTAATATTAGGATAATTTATTTCACAATTTTTGAAGAGGAAGTGATCCAAGTGAGCTCAATTTTGTGATCCAAGCAATGCAACCACACCCTGGTTCATAAATACTTCAGAAATTAAACTATTACAAAAGGACAGATCATGAAAACATAAAACATACCCTCTGGTTGGTTGAACCGGAGAAATACTAAATGTAAAAAGTAGTAACATTGTAAATTTTCACTTTTATCCATTTGTGCATTTTCTCAATGGAGCATATGTTACACTTATTTTATTTGCAGTTATACCTTAAAGGCTGATTTTAGTAGCTATCATGCAGAAAACTGATTGAAGAATTTGGATTAATTAAAATTTTACATCTATGTACGAATAATAAGATTAATCATGGTGTTGCGGCATTTTCAGAAGCAGTGTGACCTTTGGCAAAGATAGTTCTGAATGAGAATTATTAAATCATAAAACTTAATGTCAGTTATTTTTTATGCTCTTTCTTAGTTTTAGGATTTTAATGCTTTAAAGAATGGTTACAGGTTATTGTGTATTTCACAGAATCATAGAATCATAGAATACCAGGTTGGAAGGGACCACAAGGATCATCCAGTCCAACCTCTCAAGGTATAAGTACAGTTTAAATGAGCTGAGTCAGCATCCTGTCAAGCTGACTCTTAAAACGGACCAATGTAGGGGAATTTATCACTTCCCCAGGGAAATTTACCACTTCCCCTAGGAGATTTTTCCAATGTCTGATCTCATGGTAAAAACATTTCTTCTGCAGTTCAGTCAGAATCTCTCCAGAAGCAACTTGTGTCCATTACCCCTCGTCTTTTCTATGTGACTCCTGGTGAAAAGGGAGTCTCCATGTTCTTGGAAGCCACCCTTTCTGTACTGGTACATGGTGATAAGGTGCCCCCTAAGCCTTCTCTTCTCAAGGCTGAACAGGCCCAGTTTTCTTTGTGATGTATGATTTCACAAAATAAACAAGTGCACCCTTGAAGGCTCACTATGCATATGCTCAATTTAAGGACAACTTTTTGGTAAACCTGAGAGCATTCCTGGAATGTAAGTTTGTGTTACATATCACTGTTTGATAAAGCTTTGAACTAGGAGACTGGAAATGAGCACTTCTGAAAATTTATCTGCTATGGTAGGAATGGCACGTATACCCAAAAGGTCATCTACCACATCTAGTTAATTTAATAAAAGGTGCCTTTGCCTATGTTCTTGGCAATCATAGGTAGAGGACCTCTCCTTTCCTGGCAAAACATATATGCTAAAAAAATTACTAAGCTTTTTATTCAGAATTTTGGAGGTTCTTTTTGAGACTTATTACAAGTTAAAGATAAGTCAGTTTTGAAAAAAAAAACCAAACCAAAACAACAAACCAGCTCCATAATTTCAGTGTAGTAGGTAAATGAGTAAATCACCAGGAAATCAGTTCACTTTGACTTGCAATAGCAACATATAAGTTTAAGATACAGCTCTTTTTATTCCACTGAATCTGAATATTAGATTTCTTTGTACGTTAAGCTCTCCTCACATGAGGGAACGACTCTGTTTACACTTATTTTTGCAACAGTGCTTATAATTAATAGCACAGGGTAAGTTTTTAGATTAATTGTGCTGTAGCAAGGATAGAGTTGTTTTCTAAGTGCCAGTGGTTGGTGAAACTAATGAGACCTGGTTTCTTATGGATTTATATTCTATGATGTGTAAGCACTTTAAGCCCACAAGTTTCAAACTCTTTCCTTTTCCCTAAGCAGTGTGAACTACACCTTCACGAGGTGTAACATGTACACTGTCTAGCTTGCAGCTATTGCATGTGGAAATTGGCTGTTTGGCCATTGTCGAAGGGAGTGTGTACTTGCCCATCTGTGCAAGCTTCTGTCTCCTTGAAGTGCCAGTTTAGCTTTCTGACTTACTACTGACTGCTGCTTTTTCATACGGACACATAAAACATTACAGTTTAGCCTTCTAACAATCTATTAATTGGGTTGAAATTGGTCAAAGGATAAAAGGTGTTTATCAGACAGATAATTCAGGTTTGAAAAAAAAAGTTATATTCAAGAATGGTGTGTATTCAGGTACATCAGTAGGAGCCATGTTAGAACATTAGCTACTGAAATAACCAATTAAATGAAGACACAGATTAAATAACCTTAGAACTTCTTTGCAGACTTTGTATGACTTTACTCTTTAAAATAACAGACTTATTGCAATTTGTTTATAGTTACAGAAATTGTCTCTTCATAGATACAGGCGTTGTTAGTTTGGTTTTTCCCAAAACATTTCTGTGGATGTTTGATAAAAAACAAGGCTTAAAATGAGAATTAATTTTGTATAGAAGTTTAAATCTAGTTAGGGTATTGAGTGAATGAGCATACTTGTGCAGAGGGGTCCATAAAAGCCATGAAAACCCTTGTGTATAGAACCTTAAATGAGAATTTGAGTGAATAGGGTTATTTTAATTTTAAGATAGTGTATGGAGAGAAAGAAGATAAACTTATATTCTTAAAAATAGCGCATGGAAATAATTACATTGTAATTAGTATTGTATTAGGAAGAAGTTCCTCAGAAATTATGAATTCCATTGAAGCAAGTTGTTCTGTGCAAGAGAGAAGACAGTGGAATTTGTTTTCCATGCTGGGGAAGTGCTTCGAATTGCCTTGGAGTTGTTTCCTATCTAACTGTTGAGACAGGCAGATGACAGCCTAAAGTCGCTTGAGTTGTGTTTTACACAAGGCAATCTCAGCTGCTGCAATGGGAATGCTAGAGATTTTCGTCAGTCCTAATATGTATATGGTGGAGGATAGAAGTACGAAGTGTTAATTTGGTTAACTGTAGAAGTAAGATGGCATTCTAGGTAAACCTTAAGAGTAGGTTAAATGAAAAAAATGATGAGTTTGTTTACAAAAAAAATTACATTTTATGTTCTTTCAGTATTGTATAGAAGTCATGTATGTGCTTTTCAGCTCTTTACTATGAGTGCTTGTAACATAAAACTTGTAAGTGGAATCTTAATGTGAACTTAAAGCGCTTATTTAGCTGGAAGACATGTACATAGATTTATTTTTGTGTGCATGTTCTGGTTATAGAGTCTTCTTAAGACTGATTGTGGTTTGGAATATTACCTGTATGTTAGTCTAGTAGTCTAAATTACGAAGATTTTTATGTAAATAAATATTTATCTAGTATTTCTTGTATGCTTTTTTGGCAGTCCATTTTATCAGTATAAATACTAATTTTGGTCTTCATTTTATCAAGTGTTCATCTTTATAATGTTAGGTTTTTTATCGTTGTCACTTTAGGATGGCGATCCTTCAATACGGGGTGCTGCGTCTTTTTCCTTGAGGTCACCACAGTCAGTCTGCTCTCCAGTTGGAAGTGATGGAACCCTTAAAGGTAATCTAGCTGTCATATATGTGTGTGTGTATATATGTATGTGTAT